CTGTATTAAATCAAGCTACTTTCCCACTATTATTTTTAATTAATTTCTAAATAATTTGTCAGTAGAGGGAGGCATTAGGCCCCATCTCTAACAATTAGCGTAGATTTGTAGCCTGATTTAATATGGCAGTCATTTGGCATAGAACAAAAATTATGAACACTGAACATTTTCAAAAATTGAAACAAAATATAATAACTACTTGATAAAAATAAAATAAATAAAATATTTTTATGTATGAAAACAAATATTTTTGTATTATACAATTGATACAAATATTCAGTCAAGGTCTTTTTTCTTTTATATTAATTCAAAAGCTATTTAATATTGATAGTATTTACAAGACATATTTAATTAGTTTTGTGAATGTAAGTTTTCTTATATCTAACAGCTTATCAGGAATTTTGTTATAACTTATAATAAGAATTGCTTATGAATCTACCCTGAGATTCTGTAGGAGTACTTTATCTTTTTGGACTTTTAATTGTTTGTTGTAGTTTTTGCTGAAGAATTGATATTTTCTTAAATTCTTTTTATACTTTTATTGTGGAGTGCTCCCTGTTGTACCTTGATCTCCACCTTGGTGATCTATGTTGCAGTGTCTCACAAGGGGATGGTATGACATTGGGATCACCAATTTTGGTCAAACTTGGTGAGATTATAGTGCATCCCCAATAACTGATATGTGCCAAGCAGTAGGGTTCAATATTCAAAATTAAATGAGAAAACTGAGGTTGAAAATTTCAAATCACTCAAAATGCTTAGAATTCCCATCATTTGCAGAGTGGCTGGTAGCTCAGTGAGGGTGCACTGGTTTCATAACTGTGAGGTTGGTGTTTCAAATCTTGGTGGTATCAATGTTCTCTCCCAAAACTATAATTTTCACTTTTTACTTGGTACTTTTAAGTTTATTGTACTGTCAGAGAGAAAAACTGATTTACAAGTCTGTGGTGTCCTGAATGTCACAGCAGGATCCAACTAAGTGGAACACCACCAGTACCAACATGAAAATGTCATTCCCAGATACCTTCAATCCCCTAGCACAAAACCATTGTGCTAAGGGCTAGAAGGTATCTGGGCAATATAACAGGTATTGTGAACAATCACATTGGGCACCAGGTGACACCTCATTGTAATCATTGGGAAGCATTGGGGCTCTGCGGACATCAACCATATACAGAGGTGTGTAAAAAAATTGTGTTACCCTAACATTTTCCTGAAAATCTGATACAGTTGCACAAAAACTAAATTTTATCATGTATCAGTAAAATTGTGTTTTATGCCTCCTGCAACATTGAGTGATTGCATCATCCTTTCAGTGGTGTAAAAGTGCCATGGAGTTATCAACATCAGAGGTGGCACCACTAAATATTAGTGCTAGCAGATATTCTTATCATATATCTTTTCACTTTTGGCTCATATTTATTATTAATGCCTTCTTTTGTTCACAATAGATGGATGTGTGAGACTAATCGGGGGTAGGATGTTTACGAGGATGTTGCCTCCTACCTCTTACTCGACTCAAGACCTTGAGGTCCGGTCTCGCTTGTCTAAAAGATGGGAGAAAAAGGGTTAGGAGAAAGGATCGTTAGATTCTTTCATCTGTCAGGATCTGACACCAATCTATCAATTTATCCCGGATAGATGGGAGGAATTATCACGAGCGATCTCGTCGAGGACTTCGGGTTCAGTATGGAGGTGATAATGGTGGAAGAAATGCACTCCAATCGTTCGTTAACAAAATACCCGTTTATTCCGTACATTTATACATGGTTAATAATTGGAATACAAATCCCTCTCGGGATTTTCAATCCGTATAGTTTATAAAGTAACAGCAAAGTATAAAGTGGTTGCGACCCTACCCGCGAGGTTGGAATATTCGAGAGAGAGCTTACACATCATCGCGTGTAGGATAAATACCTCTAGTTATACAGGATGGTGGTTTCAGGACAATCTTGGAGTCCGAATGCCGGGCTTGTTAAAATAGTTAAAATCCACACACACACACACACACACACACACACACAGAACAATAACCTTCCTCTGTGTCGTCATCGCACTTGTCTTTTATATGGGGGCTCTCTTTTTGAGATTTCCCCATGTACGTCACAGATGATGATCTTCGTGGACCAATGGTGGGCGAAGTGACAAACTTATGACACAACAGTTAACTCATCTTCTACAGGGAAGTATTGTCTTGGGAATGGAGTTTTTATGAGAAAATTTGTCGGTTGTTTTTCCCTTTTTGTGTTAACCCTAACTTAAAAAAATTGGTTTGATTTTGAAACAAAACGGTAAATGAATGAACAAAATGAATATAACTATTCGAATCTCGGCCCTCTTAAATCCTGGCCCTCACAGATGCATCAGGGAACTTGTCTTTTGCTTTTCATAAGTTGTGTTAAAAGCTCAATGAATGACAGCTATTTAATGAATTGATAAAACACAATTAAACACAAGTCTGTTTTACTTAATTCATTAAGTAAATATATTCTGCTTATGGATAAAAAGAGTCAAAATTTTGTTTTTTCCCCTGTTATTTACAACAATTCATGGTGCTTTTATATAGCTTAATTACTGTTTTTTCTCAAAATGAGTGTGAAATATTATTTGTTAAGAGTTCTCCAACAGGTTCAGAAGATTAATTTATCTTCTGTTTCTCACTGATGACACCAATGACACTGCATGTCTCATTAGAGTCAACAGGACATGCTGAAGAACTAATTTTGCCAGTCGTTTTCTGAGATGGCAAAGTGGAGGCATAGGTGCCAGATATAGCTTCTTCAGAAGCCCTGCCACTTATTCTTCTCCTCTGTTTCTGACAGTGTTGGATTCCTGGCTAGAGATGAATCTCAACTCTCCTTAGCTAGGGCTGCACTCTGTTTGTTGGAGTCTGTTGAGTTGCAATCACTGACAGAAAGCAAAGGAGAAAGCAGCAGAGGGAAGCACATTCAGAGACTTTAGATATCCCTAGGTTTCATATAAGAGCTATCTTACATGAAACATGTACAGTGGAAAGAGCTTATTTTAGATATAAAAATATGATTATTGATGGATAGGTCTGTATTAGTTCTGCCTGTGACTCTGATCATGTAGAATTGTATATAAAAATTGAATATAGTGAGGAAGGTAATTGTTTACAGGAGCCATTTTTAGAAAGTCAGCCATGCAATCACTAGAGAAGATGACTTTGGAGTGTTTTAGATAGGTTGTCAACAGGTTTGCTCTCTTGGCAAATCCTGGCGAGTTGGCAACCTGCTAGCATTGGCAAAACTTATGAGACACATGTTTTTTCATGTTATGCCTCTGAGGCATTAGACTTTGTATTTTACTTTTTTAATCATACACATTTGGGAACAAATAACTTTTAAGTTTTTATTATTAATGTATGTTAAAGATTGTTACTAGTAATTTCACACTAACATCTTTAAATGCCATATACTTTTAATTATACATTAATTTAAAATATAATTAAATGGAATGTATTTTTCTTCTTTGAACTATAATTAAAAGTATACTGCATTTAAAGATATCAATGTAAATTATTAGTATGATCAAAAGTGCAGTTTTTTGAAGCAGTAAAAATTGTTTTTTCCCATTTAATTTGGTATATAATAAGTAAGGATTTGTTGATACAAGTTTGATTATAGATAATTTAAATGTGATGTAAACAAATGAAAAAATCAATTTTTTAAACCTTTATAATTGCTCCATTTGAAAAGTTCACACTTGAATCTGATTGAATAATGGTTCATTTTCCTTCTACTCTCTGACAAAAATTTATGATAATGTGTCCAATAGAAGTTTAACTTTTGACTTCTTTTTTTTATGCCATCATACCTTTTTATAGTAATTAGACTTTACTTCTTCATAAGAAATACATTGAAATTGCAATGATTGCAATTTTATTTGCTTATTTAAACTGCTTTAACATACGGGTTAAATGTACCTCAACTGCACAAAATCCATTTTCATTCATTTCAAATTTTGAGATATTACTATCTAGAGGAAATAATAAATATCCAGACACCCGCAAGGCCTATCTTTGATGGAAGGCACTGGTGGCAATCAAAAATTACAAGATGGATTTTGATGTACATAAGTTCTGGAACTATGTCAAACAGGGTAAGAAGTGGTTCCAATCTAACATCATCATCTAGCATATAATTTAATACAAGACCACATGATTGATATTTCTCTGATAGAAGCTGCTTGATCTTGGCTGGGTGGTTATGTTTGGGCTCACCTCCTGTATAGCCCAAACATTGCACCATCTGACTACTATCTTTTTCACTCTATGCAGCACTTCTTGGATAGAAAGCAGTTCATTGATGATGAGATGAAAATTTGAGTCATTGAATAGGTTATCTTCTAGGTCAGTCTGACTGAGTCAGTACTTAATTTTGGATTGTTCTTGTCAACATAATCATCTCCATTGCTTTCATATTCAGTAACATCATTTTCTCAGTTTGTTTACAGATAAATATTGAAGATATTGCAGTGTCTTCTGGATCAAGAACTTTAATCAAGTGTTTTCTAATGCTTGATGATCAAGAAATAAAAGTTTTTACTAAAACATTACTTTTCATTAGCAGTTCCCTCTGGCTAGAGAAAAAGTTTTGAAAATGTCATTAAACAATAAAATATATGTATAATGTATGGCCCTTAACTATAGTTAATGGTATAGAATATATTCAGTTTTGTCAGATTCCTTTGTAGTTACTTAGCTGCATGTTTTACTATTTGGTAAAGGTACCAAATCATGAGAACTCATGAAATTCCAAACCAGATATGCAGTAAACAAACTACTAGCAAAACAATATGTGGTTGGAGTCAAATTGATCTCATCCATAATTTTGGTGTTAATAAAATCTGTAATTTTAATTATGATTAGTTCTTAAAATGACTTTTTGTATTGATCCTATGCAAAGCAAAAATAAAATTTTGTGTGTATGTGTACATATATATATAAGAAAATACATAAATATTTATTTCTTTTATAGGTAACAACAGCATGCAGCTTTCAAGTAGCAGGAATGCTTACAAATCCTCATACTAATACAATACAAGTAATAACTCAACCAGGTGGTGTGAAAGTAATTGCAGCTCCTAATCCATTAGGTAATAATACATCTGTTGGCCATTCCACTAGTACACCAACAGTTCAGAATGGTCCTCTTCATATTTTAACTTCCACGGCATCTCTTATGGCAATCAGTGCTCAAAATGCAACAGGAACTTCTAGTGTTGTGACCTCATCACCAAAGACAACAGGAACTCAGTCTTTAGTGAGAGTAGCTCCTATTCCTGGAGTAAATTCTGCAAAACAATTAATGCCTCCACTTACTTTAGTGGCTTCTCAGGCTGTAATGGGTGTTACTCAAGTCACTACTGCAACAAAATCAATAATTATTAATCAAGTAGCTGGATTGACAGGTTTGACAACCTCTTCAGCAGGAACCACAGAATCCTCAAATTCTGGAATTGTTAAATCTTTAGCAATAACGTCGTCTTCAACCGTAACCACTACCACAATGCTAACGGCTAAAGGATCTAATCAAGCTGGTAATGTACTTACGTCGGTAACTACAGCTGTTCCATCACAGTCAAATGCAGTTACAGCATTACAAACCACTAAATCACTTTCTCACATTGTTCAATCAGGTATGACAGGTAGAAGTATTGCAACGCCACAGATTTTACCTACTGCAGGTAAGAATTACTTTTATTATTTTTACATTAAGTTAATAGTTATTGAATAATCTTAGAGTTTGCAAGTTATTTCTGATATATTTTATGATTTTTGCATATGTCTTAATTAATTATCCAATTTAATGGTTATAATATATTTTAAAATTTCAAATAAAATTGTTTATAAAAACTGTAGAAAATTTAAAAACTTGACAGTTAAGATGAAAAAACAGCATCACTAAACCCAATATTCTACAAAGCTAGATACCAGCCAATGTCGAATTCTATCAGGCTAGACATGGCTATATTACTAAATAAATTATGCAACCAATTTGGCACTAGAGGGAGGCATTAGGTGCCATCTCTTAATAACTTTAATAATTATTAAAGTTATTAAGAGATGGCACCTAACGCCTCCCTCTAGTGCCAAATTGGTTGCATAATTTATTTAGTAATATAGCCATGTCTAGCCTGATAGAATTTGGCATTGGTTGGTATATAGTTAAGATGAAGACTGAATCCATTATAAGCATATAAAATACATAATGAGACAAGAATTAAAGGATATGTGAATGAGGGAACTGATTGTTCCCTCATTCATATATCCTTTGTAATTAGCATATTAGAGATTTTGTATTGTGCAAATGAATGTTACTTTAATGATGGAACAAAAACAAATATTAATTGAAAAAAACTATTTTAAAATATTGTAAAAATGATCTCAATGGTCATTTCAAACTTACAAAAATTATTTTTTAAAAACTTTTTCAAAGTAAACAGACTATTTTTCTGTTATTGGCTTTATTCTAGTAGTCTAGTGGTTTTTTTTATTCTTTATCTTCTTTAATTTTCTAAAATGTTTATATGAAAAATGCATTTCATATTTTGGCTTTTTCAATTTTTCTTCCTTTTCTTTTTTCTCCCATTTTGAATTCCTCTATTTTATGCTTGTTTATCATTTCTATTGGTACTAGTTGTTCTAAACAAAATATTTGCTGTAAAAAATTATTGTTACATTACAAATAAATAGGGAAAATAAATCTATCCACATAAAATTTATTAATGTAACACTTACAAAATTTTTTGGTATATAACAGTTTTTGTACAAATATCTTTTCAGTTAGGTATTAATTTCTGCATGCAAATTAAATTGATGACATTTAATCTAACATAGTGTTTTGTTTCTTCCTCATCTATCTTTAGGAGTTTTCTGCTTAAACATTTTATCTGAACAAATGATGTCAGTCCTTTTAACCAAAATTTAATTTACAGTAATCTTTCCATTGGCTGCTAAAAGCTGGGTTACTTGATTAACACACCAAAAACCTTATTTTAACACTAGCAGGAAACAGACTGATAATCATTGAATATGACCAGATGTTCTCATGTGGTGTTTGTATATGAGGAAACTATACATATACAAACACCATAAAATATACCTGATATATATGATCTAATATGCCAAACAACTGCCATATTAGATCATAATTATAAAATTTAATAAGAGATGGCACCTAATGCTTGCCTCTAGTGACAAATTATTTAGAAATTAAAATAATTGCAAAGAAGTAGCCTAAAATGGCAGTTGTTTGGCATATTATAAGGAAATTGCTAGAAATAGAGACACCATACTCACATACAGGAGAAGGCCATCAATCTGTAAGTTGTTACATAATTGTAAAGATTTCATGAATAAAATGAGGACACTGAGATTATACAAGATCATAGTATTTGATAAAGATCTAGTATACATCGAATACATTAATTAATTAACAGATCACTGACTAAACAAGTTGTAGAACACAAATATGACAGAAAAGAAGAAATAAACCATCACTCTGTTCATACATGTCTCCAAAACAGGAGTGAAACCAAAATTAGAACAAGCTAGTCTCATTAGACACACTATTCCGGCAGAGCATGCTAAAGAATTGGAAGCTCTGGAAATTTATAAAGTGGAATTGAAAGGAGAATGTCTCAGTTTTAAGGAGGAGGGGGAGGATTTCAAGTGCATTGCAAGCATTTTATGATGATCCAAACAGGACTCAAGAAAATGGATTTCATTAATTAAGAAAATATCAATATATATTAAAAACCTACGTAAATTTATATAACATTCATTTAAATTTGTAAATATCTATATAAAATTTTTTTAAATTTATAAATATTTATACTAAGAACATTGAATATGATTTTGAATTTCACCATCATTCCAAAGTTTGAAATATTATATCAATCTCCTTCAAGTTCCAAAATAGAACATAAGGTTTAGGACCTCAAGCAGACTTATAATTAGGTTGAAAATGTTTGTCCATAAAAAAATGTAACTCCTACTGGTGTTAAAATAAGGTTTTTGGTATGTTAATCTTTCTATTAATAACAACATTTAAAAAATCAGAAATCAGTCAAAATTAAAAAATGATTTTTGTTGTTAAGTTCCATCGAGTCATCGTCGACTCCTGGTGACTTCATGGACAAGTCTTCTCCATCTTGATCTTTCCCTTGTTGTCTCTCGTAGCTCCTCCAGCTTCATTTCTGTGACTTTTTCGATTTCTTCTATCCATCTTATTCGTTGCCTTCCCCTCTTCCTTCTACCTTCCACTTTTCCCAGCATAATAGTCTTCTCTAGGGAAACTTCTTTACGCATCACATGTCCAAAGTAGGTCAATTTTTGTTTTAAGATTCTTGACTCTAAGGAGAAGCTTGGCTTAATTTTTTCTAAAATTGAGATATTTGTTTTCTTTTCTGTCCATGGAACTCTAAGTAATCTTCTCCATACCCATAATTCGAATGCATCTATCATTTTTCTTTCCTTTTTCCTTAGAGTCCAGCTTTCACAGCCATATAATGTTACAGGGAAAACCATTGCTTCTACAATTCTTTTCTTAGTATGAATGGAAATGTCTTTATCTTTCATTATCTTGGTGAGATTTGCCATGGCTGTTCTGCCAAGATTAATTCTCCTCCTGATTTCTCCTTCACAACTTCCATTCCTTTCTACCTTTGAGCCCAAAAGTATGTAACTTTCTACCACTTCAATTCTTTCACCATCCACAATGATAGTAAGTTTCAATGAAAGAATGTCAGCTCAAAGTTATTTTCAGAAATGTTTATTAAACTGGATAGGGGTAAGTTCAATAGCTGAAATGATGGAAGAAACACTAATATGGCATGAACAAAATTGGACATATTTTTGCTTCTAATTATTTTAAATAAAATTGGTCCTATTTTATTGTTTAATCTTCAAAATAGTTTATAAAATGTAATTGTAATTTATATGCAAGAACCTTACCAAATTGGAAATAGATTTTGCCTTAGTGCAGGCATGAACAACATATGGCCCGTCTAATGAATATATGTGGCCCGTGATCAATCTTTCAATATTAGCTACTGAAGTCCAAATAGCGCAATGAAAAATTCTGACACCTAAAAAAAAAAGTCAACAACTCACTGTACGTTTAGAGTTAACCCTCCATTACAAATCTCATAAGTACAGCATAGACTGTTGATAAAGCATGATAATGTAAAAAATGTATCTGTAATCTCTATCTACAATTTAGTTGCCACAATGCTGTCACCACAATGAGATCTTGCACCACCTCAAAATCTTCCTAGGGCAGCCTCTGGTTTGGCCCATGGAAAAAGTTTTTTTCCAATTCGGCCCGGAGACGAAAACAGTTGGCCACCCCTTCCTTAGTGTATTCTGTATATATAGAGATTCTTTTGTTGAAATATCATTATTTTAAATATTTAAAACAAACAAAAATTGAATTGAACATTAACATTAATTTAGTATTTGATTCAGATATTGTTTGGCTTTATTTTAATTTAAGGCTTGTTTGTACTTTGTAAGAAAAGAAAAGAGAATTTTAAACTTTGAAATGAAAGCTGTTTGTTTTTTTTCAGTTAAACTTTTTTCTGTATGAAAGATTGCTTGAAGAAGTCCCATATGTATAAAATGTATAAAACTATCAATTTTTTTAATCATTAAAATCCTTAAATTAGTTTTACATACTTTTCAAAAACTTTAAATACATTTTTGAAAACCTTTAATACAACAGCTTTCTTACAAATAAATATCTTAAAGTATATTCTTTTCAATATTAGATTTATTATTTGACAATCCAATGATAATAGTTTGCAATTCCTTATTCAAAAAATGTTTTGTTGAACATTACTGTCAATTCTTTATGGAATTGAATACTTGATTTGATCCCTTTTTGTAATTAAATGATATATTAACATTTAGGAAAAATTAAATTGTTTAATTTTTCCTAAATGTTAATATATCATTTAATTACAAAAATGGATCAAATCAAGTATTTAATTCCATAAAGAATTGATTATAAAATATATATATATATATATATGTGTGTGTGTGTGTTAGGCTCAAAGACCGAAATCGCTCATTGAGCGAAAAAAACTGCCACGAAGCAAAATTTGGGTCCTGGCTGTTTGTAAAAATGGCCACAAAGCGAAATTCGTGTCGTGGCTTTCATGATATTTGACCATTACATGTGTGATTAAGAAAAGCCATTATGCATTCTGAATGTTAGCTGATGCAACCATGATACAGGATCATATGACGCACAGTTGTTTGTAACTTTAAAATATGGATTATAGGCTTGAAACATTTTTATTTACAATTTTTAATGCCAAACAACATTAGTTCTACAAGTTTTTCTAGAAATTTAATTTTTATACTTTAAAAAATTTCAAAGAAATAAAATATATGGAGAAAAATACACATTTATTTCTTTTATTTTGCTAAAAAGTGCTATAGATCTAATTACATATACTTGTAGGTACTTGATATACTATATATGATAAAATAAAAATCAGCTGCTAAAGTTAAAAACCACTGTGCAATGGATTTATTATGGTTAAAAGCCATTACACGTTCTGGATAATGAGTGATGATAAGAAAATAAAACTTTCTTTTTCATTATGATTTATATATCTTCAATCATCTTATATACGCAGGTAACAAAATTATTTACCATATACAGAAATTTAACTTGGTTACTTTACAACAACATTTAATTATTCATGCATTTTTATGTTCTTTGAGCGACATTTGCATTTTTATTAATACAGTATTTTTTAGAGTGACACATTGTAAACTTGTGCTTACTTCCAGATGTTAACAAGGATGCTGAGCGAAGTGTTAATAAAGTTGAGGGTGCATTCTGAATGTTAATAAAGTTACTGTAGAAATTGTAAATTCATTACGAGCATAAAGTTGATCAAGAAGATTTTCCTTGTTTCCTAACTGATAGAGACCCGATGGATTAATGCTCGTAACGACAGCTAAAACATTTCTTGGAGCTGCACGTTCCTATCAATATTAGGCATTCTAACTAAAACAATCAAACCAATTTCAACTGCAGAAAATTACCCTAAATTGAGAAAACTCTTCGAGCTAGAGCTCGAGCTCAAGCTTGAATAAAAAAAACATAAGACAAACGATTCTATGACTCAGATCCCTGTAATATTATTGTGAAATAATAATCAATGCTTACTGTTTTTGAAAATTTTAATAACTAAAATGTCTTAGGATTTTTAGGCTTTATCAGAGGTATTACTTTACATCTGATATAGAGAGTGCCAATGGCTCAATGGCACGAAGATTGAGAAAAGCGAAATCCTACTTGGGTGTATTACTTGGGTGTATTGGGAGATAGAGAGTAATCTGAGGTATTACTCTCTATCTCAGTAATACCTCGGATTTCGCTGATTGTTTTCAGATGGATTAATTATAGACGAAAATCGAAGTATCACTGTATAGTGTACACCCATGTACCTAGCATCAATCTGCAGTATTTCTTTAACTTCTGTTGTTCTATCCTAAAACTCTCTAGTTATAGGGAAAAACAGAATGGTTTCAGGCTAAAACTTTTTCCAGCGAAACTTGTGGAGCGATAAGTAATAGCATCAGAACACAGGGTAGTTTTACCCTAGATTTACCCTAAATATAAGACTACCTGAAACATTACTCTGAGAGGTTGAAATTACTCTAGAAATGGGTAATTATCGTAGAAATGGCAACACTGGTCAAGAATGAACACAATACAAACTCTGCAAGTGTTTGTAATGCACCTGTTGACAAGTTACAACCTATCCTTCATATCGTGGTTGCATTAGCTAATGTTCAGAACGCGTTATGGCTTTTCTTAAACATCACAACACATAGTGGTCAAATATCATGAAAGCCACAATGTGAATTTTGCTTCATGGTCATTTTGAGTTAGCCACAACGCTTTGTGGCTGTTTTGAAATGACCACAACGCGTTGTGGTCATTTTTTTTGGCTCATTGAGTGATTTCATTCTTTGAACCTAATGTATATATATATATTTTATAAATTATTACAATTACTATATACATAAAAGAAAAAACATACAAGACTGTTTCTTATTAATTATGAGGATAGTTGATTATAAATAAGATAATTAACTATTGACTGTATGTTTAAATAGGTGGACACAAACATTTTTAATATATAATATTCGTGTTGCTTATCATTTTAATTTTCATATTTGTTTTAATTAGTACCGGCATCTCAGATCAATAACGTGGGACGTCATATTGTTGCCGCATCTATTAAGTCCGTCTCGCCGGCTGCAAGATCTTCTCTCTCTCAACTTTCTGGTGTTGCTCACGTTACGCACGTTATGCCTCAATCACCTGTGGCTGCTTCTGTTGGCCACATTGTTTCTGCCGGAAGTCACGTGTCGGCAGTGACTCCATTAGTTACGCCAATGTCAATGGTGTCACATTCTGCAACAGTGCATCATCCACAGGTGTATTCAGCTCAGCCACAGTTGGGGAAAGTCATCACTTCACCAGTCTTAAAATCTGTTGGACAGATACCAATCATTCCACAACAGTTCTTGCAACCGGCTGTTGGATCGGTTGCCGCTCAGCCCGTCGTTGTTGTCAGCATGGCTGCGGCCTCAAACGGACCTCAGACATCTGCGGCGACCTCATCTGCCAACAAACAGCCGGGAACAATTAATGTACCAGTGACACAATGAAGTCGTCGGTGATATTTCAATTTTTGCATTCTTTAGTCTAATTATATGGTAATACTTGTTAATGTTATCAAATTTTCTTGATGTGGAATGTTAAAATCTAAATGGATGTGTTTTATTGCCTCCATTTCAGAAATAGGAAGGGTCAGAATTCTTAATTCATTCCATTTTTCCTCTTTTCGTTTGTGTGTGTCATAAAATTATGTGGCGAGAACAAGTGCCCGTCACGCATTGCATATAATAATTTGTTGGACAAATGAACAGGATGGAAATCACTCTAAATAATTCAAATTTAATTTGTAAAAGCAATGAAGTTTTGTCTTATACAATTTAACAAAAAGATATTTTCCATCTATAAATATATGATGGAACTAAATTAACTTAATACTGTAATATACTATTTTATCTTTATTTTCATTATNATAACAACAAAATTGCTGTTTTTACTATATCACAAATCAAGGGAAATGGACTTAAGACGAAGTTGGATAATACAGCTATTGAAGATAGTAAATAAATACGGATTCTCTATTAAATTGTTTTTAGATCGTACACATAATATGGAGCAATATAGTAAAGAAATAATATACAGAGCTATGGAGCTCTCCATTGTTCAAGACATTGAAGATATACGAAAACGTGAAAAAACAAGCTGGTATGAAACAATTTTAAATTACCCAGCAAATAATAACTATATATTGACAAATCTAGCTTTTAACATCAAAAAGTTTTTTATATAGATTAGGTTAAATAAAAATGGAATAATTATAAATGATATGTGATAAATGAATCTAAATGTCCAAATTGTACCAAAATTTTATCTAGAGTTCATATTTGAATGCTGTAATGAAAAGGATAAACTACAAAGGCTCCAGATGGGACTGCTGGCTAACTGTAGATGGAAATGTAATAAGACTTTTGACAGAGCTAATACTAACACGATTTATATATTATATAACTATGTTAAACAATTTATTAAATGATAATTGTGACAAAATATTAATGTAATTCTATAGATCAGTAAATAGAATATATCAGTGTTGTTAAGACGTGATTATACAAGATGTTAATACGCGTTTTTAAAATAAAACGCCCTTGTAACAGGCAAAAGCCTTTTACGCCAAATAAAGATTATTATTGTTATTATTATTATTATATTACGTATACAGTACAGTACTTCAATATGTTTTTATGCTTTTCAACCTGGAGTTTATTTTTAACAGCACCTTTATTCCCCAGAGTTTAATTGAGGAAATATGGTAGTTTCATTTGGAGATAGTTGAAAATACTTTGAAAGCTTCTAAGAATAATCATGCTGCTAACTGTGTCTTAATAATTTTGAAATAAGTATACTGTAGTTACTTAAATTTAATCAGATTGCAATTTGTGCTTTTCTGTAATGAAGAATGTAAATCTTATGTTCCAAGAAAAATGTAGCCTGAGAATGGCCTGTTGGAGTAGGTTGAAAATGTTTGCCAAATAAAAGTGAATCCCAGTCAAAAAAGTGTTTATAGATTTATTTTGAATTGTTCTGCTGAGGTTGATTTAGATTATTGGTAAATCTTACGATTGATTAAGCTGAGGGGTTTGTTTTAACTTGGTTTCCTAGAATCTTTCAAAAATTTTTACTCTTGGAGTCAACTCTTTTGGAGTTGGCAACCTTTTTAATATCTTGGTACTTGATTGCTTCTTCTTCTCTTTTAGGTTGTTGGAAGTGAGCAAAAATCTGATGTAGAGAACTTATCGTACAAGAACACTACGTGATTGAATATACAGACTTTATTATATAAAAAGGCATTTTGTTTTTAGATAATAGTCTGTATAATTATAACAGATATTGAATGATAGGCCACATCTGGTATGACAAAGCATATCATTGAACATGAAATAATCAAATATGTAAATAATCAATTTTTTTCCAGTTCAAAAATTAAAAATGTAAAATGGGTCTTTTTTTATTTTTAAATTTAATATATTTTTATAATATATAAATTTAATATAATTATTTTTAATTAAAACCAGAAATTAAATNTGTGAACGGCTCACATATTTGTAAAATCTAAGTGACTCGTACAACATGGAATTCAGATAAAACGGAAAAATCAATGATCTTATAGGGGGATCGACTGTAGTTTACTTAATACAGTTAATAATATTTACTTTTTAAAAATCACATGTTGTTTTTAAAATACTTTAAAATAATTCACAAAAATAAATAAATCTTGATGAAAAAAGTGGAGATTTTTTGAAAATCAAATTGCCCAAAGAAAATGTAGCTTTATTCATAATGTCTGGTCAATTTAATAAATTAATCAATATTTATCAGACTGGTCATTTTAGTGATTTTTCATAATGGCTGGGCATTATAAATAATGACCTATTAATCACTTGGCTCAAACATATACATTTTTAAATGTTTGTTGCACACAATAATTATTTTCTTATGCAGAATGTACCTTGTTAAAATATTAAAACAATTTTATTCTACTTTTTAATGAAATGATTAATACTTTTTTCTTTGTTTTCTAGTTAATTTAATATTGTAAATCAGAACAATAATGGTTTTTTATCAAACAGTAGCTCACATACTACTAGTTGAAAATTGTTTTTAAAACAGTACTTGATAATTTAAGGGCGAAAAGAACGCTAGATTCCCAACTAGTAGATCGCGAACTATTCGCTATAGATTGTCTTAAATAACTGATAATTTGAGGATAAAAAAGATATTAATCTTCCAATCAGTATGATGCAGGTATTTGTTAAAAATTGCTTTTAAAACCTCTAATTATATGTTGTGAAAGATTTAAAAAAATACTAATTAATAAATTAAGGATTGAAAGGTATAGTACATTAATTCCCAACAAGTAGATCGCATACTATTCGGTGGAGATTAAAAAACGCTAATGAATAACTACAGAACGAAAAAGGAATTAATTTCCCAAGTAGTAGCTCGCGAACTCTCTTGAAAGTGAAAACAGATATTCACTTAATTTTTCTTATAATTTTATTCAAATTTATTATGCGAATTAATGTTGCTAAATGTATGAATAAAAAGGATTTTAACTGTTCAGCATTAAAAATTAAAAATTAATTTTAAAAAGGATTCGAATGTTTGTTTTATCTCTTAGTCAGTTTGTGTGCCTGTCCATAAAACTGCTCACAATCTAATAAAATTAAACAGACTCATAATTTCGCATCGCAGCTCGTCTCTGTCTGTAGTCTACTAAACTAAGAATCATTAAAACTCATTCTCAGAAAATGAAATTAGAGGGTGGAAATTTTGTATTCACTTCGTTTGTCCGTAAAGTGCAACTAAACTAATGAGAAGTCTCTGATAATGTGGAGAAGCATTCGTGATGACTCTCGATGTAGTGGGCACTCAAGGGACTGAATAAATTATTTATTATAATCAGGGCTGTCCAGAGGATAACGGGGCCTGGGATAAAATACATATTGGAACCACACAGGAATAAGGAAATAAACAAAAACATTGTATAGGGGTCCTAATTCCTTGGGGCCTAGCACATTGTGTTCCTTCCCTCTCTTATCGCCCTTGACTATATTAAGAATTTACTGTAAACAAAGAATAGGAAGGACCAATTTTTACATTACAATAAAAAATTTGTCCTTATAATAATTGAAAGGACTGAATTTTTTCATTACTTTCATCTATCTGTCAGTCTGTCTGTAAAATTTCTAAAATTAAATTAGTGGGATTGATGAAAAGGAGTGTGAGAAACAAGTACGTGTGCCACCAACTCTACTTTATATGTATTCATTTAAGTGAATGTATATAATCATCTGTAGAATTGAAATTTTGCATTCTTTTGTCCAGCTGTCAGTCTGTCTCCAAGATTTCTAAAACTAAATTAGTGAAGTTAATGGAAAGGATGTGAGAAACAAACACTTGCACTATCAATAAACGTGAAAAAATATATATGTATTGTACAATAAAAATTCATCCCAAAATAAACGAAAAGACACATTTTGCATTCCCTTGGTCCGTCTGTCAGTCTGTCCATTATATTCCTAAAACAACTAACAATTATTATTAGCACTATTCTCTCAATAATCTTAGTTCAATCTCTTTAAAATCAATATTTACAAAACACAGACAAATTATTTATCTATAATTTAGACTGCAATTTATTAACAGATAATTATTTTTATAAAAAAATAAACTTGTTTTGTTCAAAGTTGCAATGTAACTTTATGATATTAATAGAGAAAATAAGACATTCATAGTCTTGAATACCTGCTTTATAATATTCTAACAAACAAATAAATAAATGTATTATAATTAAAGCTAATAAAATTATTTGAAGTGTAAGAACGTCCGTCGGTCTGTCTTATCAGTAAATTAATTTACCAGATTTTTCTAAAATCTGGTAAATTAATTTACTGATTAAAAATCCATTTAGGCAGATTTACATTCATGACTTACATTAAATTCAAAATCGAAAAAAAAAATCTAAAACGTCAAAACAGTTTTTGCATTTTATGACATAAATAATAGAAATAATTTAATTTCTTAGGACAGAATAATAAATAAAAGTCTATTTGAATCAACTGTAGCATTAAATAA